ACTTTTACCTTTTGATAAATCAACTCCCCTTCTAGGAATTTTTGTTGAAGTTAAATTTCCAAAAACATGAAACACATACAGGGTGAGAGGGAGTGAGTGGTATGCACATGATTATTTTTGGTGGAATTATCGGTAATTACAAAACAGTAGAAACAACCTTAAATGCTCATACTACACAGGGCATTGGATAAATAAATTATGACATATCTACCAGTGCAGTATTAAAAAGGAGAAGAAATCTGGCTTTTAAATGGAGTGTGTTGGCCATTTTCATATTTGGTTTTACATCTACCATCTTGCTATGAGTTGATATAGAGTGGTTCCGGGACCTACTACTGAGTGAAGGACATCGACGCGTTAACATGTATGTAGTATTTTGTCTTTTATATAAGAAAAGAGGGACAACAATATATGTGGGTTCCTTGTCTGAGAGGACTGATTTCAGAACTGGGGCATGGAAAGTAAAAGGTGAATCTGACATAATTCATGTCAGAAAGTAAGATCTGATGGTACATGTCAAAAGGAGTTCTCAAAAAAGAGTCCAGGACAATTTGAGAACAAAAAAATTAAGTATAGTAATGACTTAAGCTATACTGGCTCTAAAAGAATTCAAAAGTGTTTACCAGTATGAATAAATAAATACGAAGAGTGGGACGGAATCATAAGGAAAATTATCATTTTATAATCATATAATGACAAATGACTTAGGGAAGAATTATCAATGGATTCTAAGTCTATTGGGTCAACGTTTGTTGGAAAAGAATTTCTTAATTTCCAAATATATGGAGATTTTCTGGTTATCTTTTGTTAAACATTTCTATCTCGTTTGAATTTCTGCCAAAGAATATACACTTTATGGTTCCAATACTTTGAATGTTATTGAGGGGCATCTGGGTGACTTAATTGGTTAAGTGTCCAACTCTTGGTTTCAGCTCAGGTCATGATCTCACAGTTTGTGTGTTCAAGCCCCACGTCGGGCTCTGTGCTGAGAGCATGGAGCCTGCTTGGGATTTCTCTCTCCCTCTCTCTCTGCCCCTCCCCAGCTCGCTCTTTCTCTCTCTCTCTCTAAAAAAAAAATAAATAAATAAACCTTGAAAAAATTAAAAAAAAATTTAGAATTGATTTACAGCAAAGTATACAGTCAAGTTTGATAAGTATTTCTTGTTTAAATGATGGTAATACGTATTTTTCACTTTTCAATGAATTCAGCTTTGTTCATTGCTCTCATACAATTATTGAAAAGGGTTTGTTAAAATTTCACACCATGATTGTAGATTTGTCTACTGTTCTTATAGTTCTGTCCCTTTTTGATTTAGTAATATCGAGGCCATATTATTATTATTTTTTTTAACATTTATTTATTTTTGAGACAGAGAGAGACAGAGCATGAATGGGGAAGGGTCAGAGAGAGAGGGAGACACAGAATCTGAAACAGGCTCCAGGCTCTGAGCAGTCAGCACAGAGCCCAACGCGGGGCTCGAACTCACAGACCGCGAGATTGTGACCTGAGCCGAAGTCGGCCGCTTAACCGACTGAGCCACCCAGGCGCCCCTCGAGGCCATATCATTATACACATACAAGTTCATTATGCTATGTCTTTCAGATGAATTAAATCTTTTATCATTACAAAATAAACTTCTTTATTTAAAATATTTTATTTTAGTGAAAAGTGTATTCTGTCAGATTATTAATATAGCTCCACAGTCTTTCTGTTGGTTAGTGTTTGTGTGGAATACATTTTTCTATTTCTTACTTTCCTTATGATTTATATATGCCTCTTATAAACACATAGGTGGATTCTGTTTTCAAACCCTGTCTGACAATCTTAGAATATTTGGTTCATTTACAATTAATATAATTACTGATATATTTGGTTTCAATCTTGCCATCTTAGTACGTGTTTTATATTTTTCCACCTGATGTGTGTTACTTTTTCTATCTTTTATTGCCCTGTATTGGATTCGCTTTATTACTCTATAATATTCCTCTGTAAATTTGGAAAACACTCCTTTTCTGTTAGTGAATACCCTTGAATGTACAAGTTATACTTTATTCATCAAAGCTTAATATTAAAAATCCTTTTTTTCCTTTCTTCTGGACAATGCAAACAGTTAACTTTCAACCTTTCTTACTTATGTGCTATTGTTTTGTGCATTTTAGTTCCATACATATTCTAAGCCTCAGAAGTCACAATTATTATTATTTCATACAGTTAATGTTCCTCATATTTAACCACACATCTACCATTTGCTCTTTTCTTCAGGGACTCATTAAAAAAATTTTTTTTTGAGGGGCGCCTGGGTGGCTCAGTCGGTTAAGCGGCCAACTTCGGCTCAGGTCACGATCTCGCGGTCCGTGAGTTCGAGCCCCACGTGGGGTTCTGTGCTGACGGCTCAGAGCCTGGAGCCTGTTTCAGATTCTGTGTCTCCCTCTCTCTGACCCTCCCCCGTTCATGCTCTGTCTCTTTCTGTCTCAAAAATAAATAAACGTTAAAATTAAAAAAAAAATTTTTTTTTGAGTATGGTTGACACACAATGTAACATTCGTTTCAGGTGTATAACACAGTGATTCGACAGTTACCATTTTCATTGTCCTTGTTTCCTGATTCACTTTTTGTCAGCTCATCGACGTTGTCATTTTGACACCTAGCTTTCATTGTTGCTGTTGCCAAAGCATACATCCATCTTCTCAGGGCTCCGTTGAAGTTGATCTCTTGATTTTTCTGTCTTTAAAATTGATTTTTTTTCTTCTTTTTTTTCCTGCAATGGTGTTATGGTGGGTCTAAATGTTGGTTTCTTTTTATTCATTCTGCTTGAGACCTGTTGAGCTCTTTCAGCGTGAGAATCAGTTTCTTTCTTCAATTCCAAGAGGCATTATTTCTCCAAATCTTGCTTTTCTGCCTTGCAAAATTCTTTTCTCGCCTTGTAAAACTCTTCTCGCTTTGTACTGTATGTCTATTCTTAGTCTTTCTTCTCTCTTTTGTATCCTTCCAATTCTTTTTGCTTCATTTATCACAATTTCTTCCAATCAACCTTCAGTAATGCTCTTTTTTTTTAGTTGTGTCTAAACTGCCTTTGAGTTGTTAGGTTTTTGTGTTATGCCTGAGCTCCAGATTTTCCGGTTGTTTCTCCAATCTTCAATGTTCCTCTTTATGGTTTGTAGTTTCTTGCTGAACTATTTCATTTCAGCGTGTAATTTTCATATGCATAATACAAAAAGTTCTTTAAAATCTATGTGTGGTAATTACCTTGAGTGTCTGTGAGTTCGTTTGTATCATCTTTTATTATGTTGTAGCTGATTCATGTTGCCTTCTCTCTTCATGTGTCTGTTTATCATTGTATTCCAGTCACTGGAACCGAAAATTATTAAAAGAAATCATGTGAAGTGTAGAATGTCTTTTTTTTTTTTTTTTTTTTTTGCTATACCAAAAAAATTTAGAAACATGAAAAAATATGAAAACATCTTAACCCCCTTTTCAGGATTCAGGTTTCTATTGGTTACCCATGTCAAGGGTGATTTAAGCCTGGCCCATCCTTATTTCTAGAGTAGAGACCTTTGGCATCTTAAAAATAAGCTCCGGTGGGTTGATCCTTGCCTGCTCTGTATTCCTGCTTTGGATGTTCTTTCTTGTGAGACGGTGAAATTCGCTTCTCAACCTGTCAGTTACATCTTCAGGTTTGCAAATACATCACTGGCAATGGTGACTCAAAAGCCATAGTTGTTCTTCTTGGATTTCTGTCTTTTTCTGGATCCCTCACTATCTCATTAGCTTCTCATTGCTAAGAGTATTTTTCCCATATTTTTTGTTCTCTTTAACACAACTATTATTGCAGATTATGCACGTGTCAGTAGACGCTGATGCCCCTAATCCTCTCAGTTAATTTAGCTGTACATTTCCTTTGTAAGCACCAGAAGAGCCGGCATCTTTTTAGATGAGCTCTTTGGAGTGGAGGAAGTAAAAATCTGCTAGCCCTTGAATATGTAGGTCAAATTGTGTAAACGGATTCACTTTTTATCTGGGAGAAGTTTTCTTGCTTTTTATCCAAAGGTATGCATGTGTGTGTTCACCTGCAATAGAACAATCTTAAAACTTACATTTATTTTATCAATAAACCCAGAGTCAAAATCTTCAGATGATATCCATGAAGACCATATGGATGTCTTGATCGTGTTATGAACTTTATCAGAATCTTTCATAGAAACATAACTTTGAGGAGGAATTATTTAATGAGACGCTAAATGTAAGTTCCAACTGGAAGAGGAGGGAAACAAAAGGGAAAAGTAAAAAAAGAAGATTGCAAAAGCCCTTACATTCTAATTGGTTAAGTTTTGTGACTTGAACATTAGCATTGTTAAGGCATTTGTGAATATCTCAATCATAAGCCATAAGATGATCATTTCTCTCACTTCAACCTCCCCCAAATCCTTAAAAAAAAAACAATGGATTTTTTTTTTCGTATTGTATAACCAGAATGTAAGAAGATATTTAAAAACAGCCACATAGTGTATTTTAGGTCAATTAATGGCATAAATTTAGACATGTTTCCTTCATGAAGATTCATGTGACACTATTGATTTTGCCACTTAAGAAGATAGGAAAGAATAAAAATATTAAGGTTAATGTTCTGTGATAGATTGATCTTTTCCAAGATTTAAATGGTACATTTTAAAAATTTAGATGACCAAATATCTGTCATCTTCAAATCGTTTTAAATGTCTCAAAAGATTTTGCATCTGTGTTGCGGAATTCATTGGCATACGGGTGCATAAAATACTTGAGCAGCATAAATAGAAAGTTCACATTTACATATTAGCATACATTACATTTCTTTCATTATTGTTAACCTAAATATCAGATAAATAGGTTAAGAATAATTCTTAAATAGAATCCCGATTAAACGCAAATGTTACCAGTCGACGTCTGTTCGTTGTTCACAGTACATAATCCGAAAGTATTGAGCATAGCCGCTGCAATTCTAATGGCCAAGAAAGTTATTTACCTATAGAAATTGCCCAAACAATAGCAATCTTCATGATGGCCTTAGTCCGCGAATTGAAACGGCTATGCTCAATAGGATTACGTATTGCTACATACCGATCCAGCGAGATAGCGCAGAGGTGCATGATGGACGCTGTTGAAAATAAAACATCCAAAGAAATCCAGACGGGGCACAAATATCTAGGTAGTGGCCAGACATAATCTGAAAGAGAAAAGAGAGAAGACAAGAACATATTATCCAAATCAAAATGTCTACAGTCTTACATTTTAGTCTATTTCTTTCCTCTCATAAGCTACGCTTTTTAAAGTAAAGTGGAATTTGGCTAACATTATTTTCCATAGGAATGATGATGATGACAGTGATTATGTCAAAGCCTTCAGTGTTACATACGTTATTACTTTTTAAATTTTGTTAATGCGTAGTTATTTTTGAGAGAGAGAGAGAGAGAGAGAGAGAGAGAAAGAGAGAGAGACAGACAGCATGAGTCGGGGAAGGGCAGAGAGAGAGACACCGAATCTGAAGCAGGCTCCAGGCTCTGAGCGGTCAGCACAGAGCCCGACGTGGGGCTCGAACTCACGGACCACGAGATCATGACCTGAGCTGAAGTTGGGCGCTTAACCGACTGAGCCACCCAGGCGCCCCCATACATTATTTTTTATTGTGATAAAATTTATAAAGTCTAAAGTTAATCATTTTAAAGTATACGTTCCTGTGGCATTGAGTACGTTTACAGTATTATACAAGCATCACTTCTTTCTAGTTCCAAAACATTTCATCCCTCCAAAAGGAGACCATTATTCACTAAGCAGTCACTCTCCACTCTCCCCTCCCCCCACCCGTAACAATCTAATCTGCTTTCTGTCTCTATGGATTTGCCTAATCAGGATATTTCATATAAATGGAATCCTACAACAGGTGCCTGGGCTTCCTTCACTAACATACTGTTTTTGAGGTTCATCCATTTTGTAGCACGGATCAATACTTTATTCCTTTTCATGGCTAATGTTCTTGGTTGAGATGTTTTTGATGCTGTTGTAAATTGAATCGGTTTTTAATTTCCTTCATGCACGTTCATTGCTAGTATGTAGAACTATAACTGCTTTTCATGGGTTAAGCTTGTATCCTGCAACTTTGCTGAATTCATTTATTAGATCTAGTTTTGTGCGTGAGGGTTCATTAGGATTTTCCATTTATAAAACTGTGTCATCTGTGAATGGAGATAATGTTAGATATGCTTTTCGAATTTTCCATTGCATTTTATTTTCTCTCTTGCTCAATTAATCTATATAGAATTTCCAGTACAGTGTTGAATGGAAGCAGTAAAAGCAGCTGTCTTGTCTTTTCTCTGCTCTTAAAAAAAAAAATCTTTCATTCTTTCACTATTAAGTAGGATGTTAGCTGTGGGTTTTCATAAATGCCTTTGTCATGTTAAGGAAGTTTCCTTGTATTTCTAGTTTATTGACTGTTTTTATCATAAAAGAGTGATGGATTTTGTCAAATGCTTTTTTTTTTTTGCATCAATTGAGATGATCATGTGGTTGTCTGACCTTAATTCTATACGTGATGCATGATTTTTATATGTTGAACCATCTTTGCATTCCCGTGATAAATCTCACTTCAGCATGGTGTATACTATGATGTTATATTTAGTTTGCTAGTATTTTGTTGAGGAGTTTTGCATCTATATTTATAAGTAATATGGGACTATGCTTGTCTTTTCTTATAATGTCATAATCTGGCTTTGATATCTGGATATTGCTGGTCTCATAGAATGAGTTACAAAGTGTTCCCTCAATGTTCTATTTTGTAGGAGCTTGATAAGAATTGCTGTTAATTCTTTAAATGTTCAGTAAACTTTGTCAGTGAAGCCATGCTGTCCTGGATTTCTTGTTCTTGTTTTTTTCTCTTCTCTATTTTGTTTATCTCCATTTTAATATTTACCATTTTCTTTCTTTTGATAGTTTGGGTTAAGTTTGTTATTCTTTTCTTGTTCCTTATGATCCAATTTCATTTGTAATTTCTTCTTTGATACATTGGATATTTAATAGTGACTGTGGTGTTTAATTTCCACATACTTATGAATTTGTCAGTTTTCTTCTGTTATTGATTTCTAGTTTCATTTCATTTTGGAGAAGATACTTCAAATAGTAATATTAAAAAATGTTTTAAATGTTTATTTATTTTTGAGAGAGAGTGAGCAGGGGAAGGGCAGAGAGAGAAGGGGACAGAGGATCTGAAGCAGGCTCTGTGCTGATAACAGAGAGCCCAGTGCGGGACTTGAACTCATGAACCATGAGATCATGACCTGAGCTGAAGTCAGATGCTTAACGAACTGAGCCAGCCAGGTGCCCCAGTAATATTTAAAAATGTCAATGTTTGTTTTGAGACCTGATATATGATCTATCCCAGAGAATGTTCCTTGTGCATTGAGAAAATTGCTGTTTCTGCTGTTGTTGGATGGGGTGTTCTATATATGTCTGTTCTATATATGTTCTATATATGTCTGTTCTATATATGTCTATTAGTTGCTTCATAGCATTGTTCAAGTCCTCTGTTTCCTTATTGATCCTCTGTCTAGTTGTTCTATTTATTCATTATTGAAAATGGGATATTCACGTCTCCAAGTGTTATTTTAGATCTGTCTTTATTTCCCTTAATTTATGTCAGTTTTGCTTCCTATATTTTTTTGCATCTGTTGTTAGGTGCATATATATTTGTAATTATTATATCTTCTGGACGGTTTGAACTTTTTATCAGTATATTATGTCCTTCTTTGTCTCTCAGAACAATTTTTGTCTTAAGTTCTATTTTGTTGGATACTAATATAGCCACCTTGCCTTTTTTTTTTTTAACGTTTATTTCTTTTTGAGACAGAGAGAGACAGAGCATGAACAGGGGAGGGGCAGAGAGAGAGGGAGACACAGAATCTGAAACAGGCTCCAGGCTCTGAGCTGTCAGCACAGAGCCGGACGCGGGGCTCAAACTCATGGACCATGAGATCATGACCTGAGCCGAAGTCAGATGCTTAACTGACCGAGCCACCCAGGCGCCTCACCACCTTGCCTTTTTTTGGTTACTGTTTACATGGAATATCTTTTCCATCCTTTTACTTTAACCTATTTGTGATTTTGAGTCTAAAATGAGTCTCTTATTGACAGCATATAAAGAAAGGTTCTTTTTTTTAAATCCATTCCGGCATCATATGTTTTTAACAATTCTGCTAATCTTTGTCTTTTAACTAGACAGTTTCATTCATTTACATTTAAAATAATTACAGCTACAGGAGGATTTATTTCCATTATTTGTTATTTGTTTTTATAGGATACACACCATTTCCCCATAAATGTTTCTGTTATTCACTTTATTTGTGATTAATTGATTTTTATAGGGTAACTTTTGATTTTTTCTTATTTCTTTTTCTGTATATTAGTTTAGTTTTCTTTTAACTTGGGAATTAAAATGATAACCTTAACATTCTCACAACCAAGTTTTAATTAATACCAACTTAGTTTCAGTAGTATGCATTTTGCTCTTTTGTATCTCTTTCTGTCTTTGTTATTGTCACAGATTACATCTTTACACATTGTGTGGCCGTTAACGTACATTTATAACTATTTTTTTTTATGTATTTGCTTTTTATAAAAAGATAATAAACCAAAGGAGTAATCCCAAAGCTAGAAAAGAAATAGGAAGGTAAGTGATCTTATTAAATTAACCTATATGAAAAGATGAAGGACCGTAGAAAAGTTTAAAAGTTACCACAGTTCATTTCATAAAACAATATAGTGTCAATATCAAAACCTACAAAACGCTGAAAAAAATGAGACTAGAGACAAATAGCATTCGTTGATACAGATTCAAAGTTACAAATAAAAATTAACCAATAGAATACAGCAAAGTGTCAAAGCAATAATACATCTTGGAAAGACAAAAATTATTTCAGGAGTGCAAGAGTAATTCAATATCACAAATATCTGCCAATATAATACTTTATATTATCATTTGTATAACATTTTATGGTAGTTTAATAGATATTGAAGAATAGTTTGATAAAATAAGGAAGCTATTCCTAATTAAAATTTTCATTATATTGTGATAAAAGAAATCCCCTTAAATTGTACAATTTACTCAAAACCAATAACAAATATTACAGACAATAATTCAACAAATCCATTTCAAGTACATTAAGTTCAGAAATCGGACAGGACAGAAATTTACAGATAAAGACCTTAAAGTAGCTATCATAACCATACTCAGTGATGGAAGCGTGGATGCTCTTGAAATAAACAGAAAGAGGACATCTCAAAAAAAAAAATAGAATTTATACAAAGCACCAAATGAAAGGTTTAGAGTTGAAACAATATATAATACCTAAAAGAAGAAAATCACTGAATGGTCTTAATAGATGAAGGGAGATGACGGATGAAGAGTCATTAAAACTGAATATAGATCAACAGAAATTATCCAAACTTTAGAAGAGTGAGAAAAAATGGAAAATAAATGAACATAATAGGGACCTTTGGGACAATATGTATATGTGTAACGTGTGTGCCATTGGACTCTGAGGAAAGGAAAAAAATGATATGGAAAAATATTTGAAGAAATAATGGTCTAAAACATCCCATATTTATGAAAAAAACATTTACAGATTTAAGAGGTTCTACCAAACCTAAATGATTAAACTCAAAGATAATCATGCCTAGAAACATCATAATCTGGTGAAAATAAAGATAAAGCAAAACAGCTGAGGTAGCTGAGGAAAATGACTCTTTTCCATGTAGGGAGCAATGGCTTGAACAACTTCAGATTTTTCATCAGAAATCATGGAGCCCAGAAGGCAATGTAATCATAATCCAGAATTCCATAGCCGGTGAAAATATCTTCAAAAAAATGAATGTGAAATAAAGACATTTTCATCTGAGAGGAAACAAGGAACTGATTGCCAGGAGACTTGCTTTAAAAAGTGCTAAAAGTCATTCTTCAGAAAGAAAAAATTAGATGACAAGAAAATTTGTAAACTTCAATAATGAATGAAGAACAACAGAACTGGTAAATAATCTGGAAAATATTATAGAGTATTTTTCTTATTTTAGGTCTTTCGAATATATGTGACTGTTAAGAGCAAAAATTATAACATTGTCTGAGGAGGTTCTCAATGGATACAGACGTATCCCATATTACAATAAAAAAAGGGGGGGGAG